GGTGAAAATTAATTAATCTAACCATGATCATTAATGAAGAAAAGTGACAGCAAATTGAAACGTGTGCAATCTCAAAGACTGTGAAAGTATGACAGAAATTTGACACAGTATTTATACCTAATTTGTTTAGTCCAAATAAACACATCCACCAACTCCAGGACAAACAACAATTCAGTCTTGCGGCACACGTGGTCAGTTCAAAAGAAGAAAATAGGTTAAGCAAACAAAACAAAAATACCCCAACACTCAACTACCGTTCTTGTTCTAAGCAAAGCGCCCCGCCTAGACTGTAATTAAATACTAATGATTATAAAGAAAAAACCGCTTTATATTTATCGCATATGCACGAAAATCGAGATTTGTTAAGTCTTTTGGAATTCATAGGCGCACGCAAAAAACCCCCAGCGCAATTCGCCACTTGGATTCTGTGTAATGAGGTCGACAGGTTGTCCATTTGGTGTTGCCCAGACTATAATTATATTGGAGTCCGCTTAAACCGAACAGGCTTAATTCAAAAACAGCAGTTAACCGAAAGAAAATAAGCTGAATATAACTATGACTTCTCTCACAGCTGGTTTGATTTTTGTATGAATAAAGAGAAGCACATTGTCACGATAATGACAATTTGGTGCACGGGAAAAGCAAGACAGACAGACAGTGTTAGCAGCAAGAAAGAAAAGAAGTAAAGAGCTAGAGAAAGTGAGAGAATGAAAGAACGAGGAACAATAGAGAGAGAGAGAGAGAGAGAGAGAGAGAGAGAGAGAGAGAGAGAGAGAGAGAGTATGTGTGTGTGTTTGCGTGTGTGTCTTTGTGTGCGCACATTCAGATTCGTGTGATTATAATTTACTCAAGATATGCTAGTCTTTGCTAAGGTACCAGCGACTGACTCACCAGTAAAGATCTCCAGCAGCACGATGCCAAAAGAGTACACGTCACCTGCTTTGGTGCCGGGCACGCCTATCGTTGGGTCACGGAGTACCTCCGGAGGTGTCGCCAGGAAATCTGTAGAGTATATTCCATCATCATCATCATCATCATCATCATCATCATCATCATCATCATCATCATCATCATCATCATCATCATCATCATCATCATTATCACCACCACCACCATCATCATCATCATCCATATAATTATCTTTTTCATCATCATCAGCATCATCATCATTATCATCATTTCTCCTTCTTCCTTCTCCTCCTGCAGTGTTACTGCTTCTCTTACTCAATACATGTATTATCATTACATTTAGTAATACAATTGATCGTATAACCACTGTTATAATAAACGAGAAGGAGTTCACGCAAATAAAACATAGAGAGTAATGTCACAAACAAAAAACCCCTATCACACATCTATTGTTAAATAAAGATTCTCACTCGTGTAGTTCATGTCGACGTCATCCACGACTAGTGGAGCAGTGAGGCACGGGATGGTCATGTGCGCCAGTTTGCACGTCCACCGGCAGTCAACGAGTACGTTCGAGGCTTTCAAGCGACCATGTCTTCCCAAGTGGGAATGATGGAGATACCGTAATCCCTGTAAAAGGAAGTGCCTTTTTATTTGGGTATATAGCTAAAGCCAAGTCTTTCAGCTATGCATAATTATTATACCGCAATCCCTGAGAGTGGAAGTAGGCCTACTTTATGTTGGGCATGTACCGCAAGGCGAAGCCGTACAAGAAAATGTAAAGAAAAAAGATAAATTGAAAATTTATTTAGACAGTAATGAAAAAGAACAAGGGGAAAAAAGAAGCAAAGAATAGCATACAAATACGGACCAGTTAGATCTCTTCAAAAAGGAAAGTTTAACTAAGCGCAATGTGATTTAGATATATCGTCTTATTTATACAAAAAAACCCGCCTATTTAAGAAAAGATGTTAAAAAGTCATTTATCTTTAAAAGATTCAATTGGTATCATATGATTCTCGGTCATCATACAGAATGTACAACCTGTTTCTTGCCAAAAATGGTTTGCAAAACTTAATGTTGGCTCACATTCCAAGGCGAGGTCAGGCGAACATAATTATTTTGCTGTGGACCCACGAGTTTTACATCTGAAATGAATTTATTTTATTTCTACACTCATGAAATGAAATTGTCTTTTATATACAGATAGGCCTACAAAAGCTCGGGAAATAATTTCCTATCATTGAGTATTTTGGGGGAACACTAATACGTTAAAAAGTCAATACAGTTACTATGACTATAACCCTTCTGAAGTTGCTGAGTCAGATTTATGTTTAATTTGTCTGCGCTTAAAATGCTATTGTGCTTTGAACTTTCTGTAAAGAGGTTTTGTGATATATTTTGAACGAAATTTATAGGAGACGTTTCCTTATTTATTAGGCGAGTGGAAGGTTCCTTGTTAGCAATGTAACCGTGCCACTCTTTCACGTTTAAAATGTTGTCGGGAAATAACATAACGAATAAAGGTTGAAGGTCACAGCTTCTGAAATAAAATTTATTCCATCTAATTGGACTTCGTAGCGGGCCTTATATGACGCTACAGTAAACAGAATCACGGTTAAACGGGTGTACATTTTCATTTCGGCCCTGTCTGGTGTGACATATCAAACTGATCAATGGAAAATCACGCGGGGATGCTTTTAGGAGAAATGTGGGGCAACACGATTTCCTTGTACGTTTACCTATACAATATTATTGGTAGTTTTATGTTAACGTAGATATATATACTGTGTAGTAGGCCTACAATGACAAATGATGCTTCGGATGAAGACAAGGGCATAACAAAGAAAGTTTTGGATTGGAACCCACAGGGTAAGAGATCAAGGGGAAGGCCGCATGGAACCTGGAGCAGAATCACAGACATCGATGTACAGTAAAGTGGGAAGACATGGAATAACATCAAGAGGCTAGCCCAGGATAGAGAAAGGTGGAAGGTGTTTGTCCGTGGCCTTTACCCTGTTGCAGGGTGAGAAAGGCAATGATAATGATGAGGCCTGAAATGTACACGTAGTAGCAAACAAACACAAACGCACACCAACACACACATATACAAACATACATACTCTCTCTCTCTCTCT